CAGAGATTGAACCTGAAAAGGATGGGAGGCGGGAAAGCCTTGTAAAACATACTTGAGAGAAAGAATTTGCACACAGATTAAACTTGATTGAAAGCTGGGAAAAACAAAAGCTGGGTTCCTGTTGGAAGATCACAGGACACCCTGGTCCCCCTTGCTGTTAATGCAATTACAAGGTATGCTTGTACAATCATTGAAATAATAAGGCTTTGAAAGGGTGTGGCTTGTGGGACTTTGGGGAGGTTGGGTTCCCATTGAGGATGTGGGGCCAGGAATTTAATCTTGTCAGGGTCTCCGGGAGCTACCTGCAGTGCTGCCTAGAAAGATGGGAAGGAGGTGCTATTCCAGGGATCTAGGTGTGTGCAGTTAATCACCCTTCAGGGTCCTTGCAAGTTGAGAAAAGGAAGAAGAATTTGAAATAAGCAGGTAGTGCCAAGTAAAACTGGAATTAAGGAGAGAGAAAGCACAAGCACAAGTGAGAGGTCTGTGGGAGAGAGTCGAGTTTCACCCACAGAATTATGCTCCTGCTTTGAAAGTGTGTTAAGAAATCTACAGGCTTTCACAGATATACATCATTAGAACTGAAGTACCAGCATTCAGCAAATATTTGTTGAGAGCTAAGGCCTAGTCCAGAATTCTCAAATTCTAGTATAAAAAATCACATGAGGAGCATGTTTGATATGCAGATTCCTAGGTTCAGCCATAAAGATTCTGATTCACTTGGTTGGGGTCTAGGACTCTGGATTATTATCAGGCAGCTCCTGTGATTTGGGATGGGTGGCTCAGAGTGTCCTAATGACTTTATAAAAACAAAACGTGGATTCTTCAAAAGTTAGTATCCAATCAAATTAGAGACTTGATTGGTAAAAACAAACAAAATAGAATATTATTTTGCCACTTTTTAAAAAATTCTCACCTGAGGATATTTTTCTACTTATCATCAGATAGAGTGGGAGAAAGGGAGAGAAAGAGAGAGAGAGAAACTTTGACTAGCTGCCTCCTGCATGACCCAACCAGGGCAAGGGCCAAACCACAACTGAGGTATGTGCCCTTGAACAGAATCAAACCCGAGACTCACTGGTCCAGGCCAAAGCTCTAACCGCTGAGCCAAACCCACCAGGGCCTTTTGTCACCTCTTGTTTGTCATTTTTGATGTTGTTTTGTTACACTCCTAAATTTATTCACCTCGTGAATTCTTTGACCTATTTACTGAACAGTAACGTAACCTGGAATCGCAAAACTATCAGAAGCAACAATATATAGATTCTAAATCTGACTTCTCCAGTAATTTGCCATTACTAGAGCAAAACTCCAAGTGAGCCTCCTTGAAAGCGGGAAGGAGGGATAAATCAAGAGGGAGGTGATTTGCAAGTGATCATTTCCTTTCAAAATTCCCTTTCAAGATTTGAAGATTAAGAAACTTTATTCTGGGAAGAAATTGATGGAGCCCCAAAGATTCAAAAGATTCATTAGGGCTATGTAGTAGCTTTAAGTTTTTTCACCAGGACCCACCCCCAAAATACATTTCAGGTCACAACCTAGAAAACACACACACATAATTGTGTGTGGTATGTGTTTATATGGGAACATATGGAAAAATGGAAACATTTTGTAAGATATTGCTTACTTTACCAGGTGAAATATACTCTGATACTTTTTTTTAAATCCTCACTGGAGGGTATTTTTTCCATTTATCTTCAGATAGAGTGGGAGGGAGGGAGAGAAAGAGAGGGACTGAGAGAAACATCCATGTTAGAGAGACACATTGATTGGCTGCCTCCCACACTATCCCGATCAGGGTTGGGGACTGAACCGCAACCAAGGTACATGCCCTCAACCAGAATCGAACCCACAACTCTTTGGTCTGCAGGCGGATGCTCTAACCACTGAGCAAAAACGGCCAGGGCTACTCTGATACTTTCCACGCTTTGCTTTTTCTCTTTTTCCCTTTCTCTTCCCTTCTCTCCCCCCCCCCCCCGACTCTTTCTTAATGATAGTCAGAATAGCATAAATTGTTTTGCCCTGCTATTTGAAAAAGCTGAGGTAGGTGTAGGATTCCAACTTCTTTGAGTTGGAAAGGAGGGGAGAGGAGTTGGAATTGGAAAAGAAGCTTGTTCACGAACTTGTCCTTTCTTCCTCAGGCAGTAACTCCAATCATCCACTGTCTATCTTGGCTTAGATGGTATCCACATCCTGTAGAGAAGACTTTACTGTCTTAGAAGTTGATATATCAAAGCAGGAAAAATGCTCAGCAAAATACACTGATAAACAAATGAGTCTTTCCCTGTTGCCAGGTTGGCCTCCTCACTGTCCTGCATGTGACATGTTCATTTTGCTCAGGCCTCTTTATCTCCTACCTTGGAACTCTAGCTACCCACCAAATCATTCTCTTTGCCTACTCCTCTTACTTCAGGGCTACCAGAAGAGGTCTGCACTTCTTTTCCCAGACCTTGAAGTCTACGGAAGGTACAGAGAGAACCGTTTATTCCCCAGTGTTCTGCTCAGGCAGGTGCAATCCACTTCAAAGGAAAGAGAATAGATGCCGTTATTTATTTTACAACTAAAGTTCTTATTTTCATCACTCGTAAATGAATTAAGAGACTCGAAGATCCCCATAATCAATTTTCTTTATCCAGCTAGCAAGTTTCATTTTCATTGCAGCCAGTTTACTATGTGCAATAAAAACATTCACAATGTTGTCTGCAATGCTGATTGTGTTAGCCTTGAAAAATATCAGTTAAAGAAGCCAATTTCATGAGTCACTTTTCATCACAGAAGGAAAAAACTCACCTTTGCCCCACCTTTGTTGTAACACCTTTTTATCTCCATAAAGAAAAACAAGCCCTGGCCAGTGTGGCTAAGTTGCTTGGGCATCAACCTGTGCAACAAAAGGTTAGTTGTTCGATTCCAGTCAGGGCACATGCCTGGATTGGGGCCAGATCCTGTAGGGAGCATTCGGGAGGTGATGATCGATGTTTCCCTCTCACATCAATGTTTTTTTTTTTCTCTCTCTCTCTAAAAATCAATGAAAATACTTAAAGAAAAACAACAATTCAACCCAGATTTCACTTGCTACCCAGTTTCCTTCCTACACACATCTTATTTAAAAATGTCTTCACTGGCTGTTCTTAAACCATCAAGCACTTTGCAAATTAATTCTCTTCCAAGACAGCTTTATTATAAATATTATTTGTACATAAAATTATTAACCTTGAAGTTTCTATCCAGTTCTAAAACAAAGAACTGGTTTTATCCCAGTTCTTTTGAGTATATTGTGATTCACTGAAAGCAAAGAATCTATAGGTACTAATTTGAAAAGGTAGGCAATATAAGCATAAAAAAAAAAAAAGAGCAATAATGTCAATAGTTGAAATACACCATGAGTTCCTTAAGATATAAAAAAGAAAATCATTGACCACTTTTGGAGTTTGCTAGGATACCAATTAATTATTCTGAATTTAACAAAGAAAAAAATCAAGCATTAAAATTAACTACTTTATGATATTATTTTACACATATTTACAGCCTCTGTGTGACCAAAGTGGGTTTGGCCATATTTGTAATGTAAGGCTTCAGAATACTTTCCTGTGATGTAAACTTTAGCCTTCTAATATGATTATGAAAGTCACTTTGCCTAATTTTGCTTTTTCTATAATTTTACATGAATGAAATCATTTAGTATAGTCTTTTGTATTTGAGTTCTTTCAGATAAAATGTTGTTTTCTATATTTATCCATGTAGGAATATTTTATTCCTCTTCAGTGCTGAGTAGTATTTCATTGTATATGTTTGCCATAATTTGTTTACCCACTCAGTAGTGCGTTTCCTGTAGCTGTTGAAATGATCATATTGGCTTTTTTCTTATTCTATTAATATGGTGAATTACACTGGACGATTTTCAGATGTTAAACCAACTTTGCATTCCCAAGATAAACCTCCCTAGTTGTGATGTAGTATCCTTTTAAATGTTGTTAGGTTTGATTTACTAAAGTTTTGTTCAAGATTTTTATGTCTATTTTTATGAAGGATATTGGTCTTAGCACTATTTTCTTTTGAGAAAGAAAAAGTCATTCAGTGGCTTTGGTATCAGGCTAAAACTGATCTTATAAAATAAATATGGAAGTATTTTTGTAATATTCATTTAATGCCTGGCACATTTTAAGATTAAACATCAAAATATACATATTTAAGTCACGTATATTAAAATATATGCTTCAAATATAAAAGAATCTGTTCTGATCTTGTTCATTCTTTTTCTAATTTTCAAAACCAATATATTCATCTTCAAATCTAGTTTGAAATATCCTGGATTAGTGAGTGATTTGTAACCACAAATTTAAAATTTTTTTTATTGTTTACAATATTACAGGTGTCCTCCATTTTTTCCCCTTTGTCCCCCTCCACCCAGCCCCCGTCCCTCTCCAGACTTTGACCACGCTATTGTCTGTGTCCATGTACTATTCATATATGTTCTTGTAATTACAGATGTTAGTAAATAAGAGCTAAGCAATTTTAGGAATTAATGTCACTAAATATCTAGAGGGGGAAACCAAGACCCTTAGAGATTGCCAGACTTTTCCAGAACAAGCCACCTTCCCACTCTTAGAGGTCTCCATCATATAACATTAATTACATGTCTTTATGATTAAACATATAATGTGTCTGCTTTGTATATACTTATATTAAAAAGTTAATGTGTCCATCCCTACTTTTCTTCCTCCCTAAGAAGGCCCACCCACACTGACACAATCCAAAGAGGCAGCAGCAAAACAATGAAACTCCAGGCTCTTGCAGCTTGGGGTTTACTAGTTGAACTGGGCATGCTCAGTCACCAGGCAGATTTTTCCATAAAGTGGAAACTACAACAGTGCGTACTGAGCGCGCAGAGGTGGGCGTGCCCTCGTGGAATTTAGAACGTTGTCGCAGCCAATGGGGCCTCGCGGCCGGCTGCCGGCGCTTCTCATTGGAGGGGGGGGGAGGCGAGCGAGTAGAGGGCCCCTGGAGGGAGCAGCGGAGGTGCAGGTCGGAGAGGCCGTGCCCCGCGCGTGAGCAGCTGCAGCGGCGGCGGCAACATCCAGCGGCGGTACCAGCAGTTCCAGCCCGTTGGTTTACTTTTTAGCAGCACGAACATAGTCATTATGCCGAAGAGAAAGGTGAGTCTTACCAAAAAGGATTTCAAAGGCCTTCAAATTGTGCTTACAGCAAACCTTGTCATTGCAATGGCTTGCGCGGAAGGCGCTCAATAATAAATCGGAGATTACGAATCTCTTTGCTCTCTGCACTTGTTTTCAGAAGCTTGTTGTAGACATTTATCCCTTCTTCCCTCCCTCCCTCTGTCCCCATCGATCTCTGAACGTTACTTTCTGTCCAGCGACGCGGTTTTCCCTCTTTTTGAACTCATTCTCTGTGGAATGGTTTCCATCTCCAGCAAGAAGCAAAAGCGATCTACATCCCCCACTCCAGGAGGGGAGTTTCCTCTGCAAACTGCCAGGTTGCGATTAGCGTGAAGGGAAGGCAGCGAGAGCGGGAAAACAAGTACATGCATAGGTAGATCGAAAAAGATAAATAAGTCGGACAGATATTGAGGTTATTGCCATGCGGGCCGTGACCACGGCCGGGTGCGCCGCGATGGCTCCTGAGGCTAAGGGAGAGGGAAAGCCATGTTTAAAATAGCGCTCACCCCCCTGCTCGCCTCCGCTGCAGACCCGTATGTACCAACTCCAGTGTCAATCAGGGCTGGGGACGCCGCAGGCGGGGCCGTGGCCGCCGGACTTGCCCCGCAGTTCGCGGCGACGGCGGCGGAGTTGGCAACGTGCAGGACGAGCGGCGCCTGGGTCACCCTCTGTGGCTGCCAAGGGCAGGGACCACCAAATCCGCTCCCGCGACCCAAACCCACACTCAGGGAAGGCGGGGTTCGCCCTCTCCGGCGCCCCTCCGTGCGCAGAGGGAACTGGGGTCACATTAGTCTTATCTCCTAGAGGACTATTATGTCCCCTTCCGCGCGGGCCCCGGACGCCAAGTATCTCTCACAGGAACGTGTATTTTTCTCCGAGTCCGACTGCGACTTGTCATTGTCCCAGGGAGGGAAGGGAGGCTTCCCTCCACCCGGAGAAAACAGGTGTGTGGTGGCTGTTCTTAAGCAAATGCTTTGCACCCTCCCACTGCCTGCCCCAGTGTTCCCAACAGTGTCAGCCAGTGAGGGTATTAAATTTGAAGCATAATTACAAATAATATCCAGTTTCATCAGTTACAGACTGAACTGATTTGTGTGTTTAAGTGAATGCATTCCTTAAAAATATTGACGTTTAAAAATACAGAAGCTTTTGCATTATCTGTCATTACTGAAAATGTGGTAGAAACTTGACTGGATTCCACTTTTACAGAAACGTATTAATTAAACCAGTTTCTTTTAAATCTTAGTTTGTTTTGTACATACTGTGTGCCTTTTACTGTGGGAATAGTTTGATTTGCATGATGTCATTTAATCCTCAGAACACCTTGAGGAGCATTAGCACCAGTGAACTGAGGCTTAGAAACATGAATTACCCAATGTCTCACCAGCCAATAGCTAGTACCAAAGATTTAATTAGATACTGGAGGTCCAAAGTTCTTACCTTCAAACATTATTTACTCATTCTCTTCATGAGTGCTGGGTGGGTCAAGAGGAATTTAGGAAATCCAAACATACTCCCAGTCTAAGAAGATGGATGGCTTGTTGAGATTGCTATAATACTTGAGATTCATTATTTAAATTTAATGTTTGTGAAAGTATTGTTTTTCCAGCTCTGTTGTACTAAAATGAGGATATTAAGATGATGCCACCATTTTCAGCATTTTATCTGAGCTTTAATGACAGGTTTGGAATTCTAGTAAAGGAACTAATAATCAAGAAATGGGTTAGTTGGTGCCATCCCATTTCCTGGGAGTTATTAACAAATTTAGATGAATAGTAGGTTAGATGTGCATGAATCCTTTTTGTATAATGGACCCTAACATGGTAGAATCCTTGTTGTTCAAGAGCCACAGTTGGTGAAACAATTACTTTTCCTTTCCTTTACTGCCCACCTCTCTTAAAGAAATAGGGAAGAAGAGAAGAGCAGTAGAGGAACTGGCTTTTGATTATTGTTGTTTTTTTTTTTTCCTCTAGAAGGCAGGAAGCCCCTTGAAGAAGCTAGCCAGGCATTCTGGGACTAGGGGCATATCTGTGTACAGGCAATTGTGTGTCATTTCTCAAGACATCAGAGTGTTCTTCAGAGATGACAAACCTTTCCTTGATTAATAGGAAAGGTTTTCATTTATAACCAGAGCTCAAAGACCTGGACAAGAGCAGCCACAAATTAAAAATGGCTACCTTGGCCATCCCATCCATCAGTTAAACCCTAGAGCTGCCTTATGGAATCCTGGAATTCACTGGAACTTATATTGGAAGCCATTGTCATTAGGTAAAGCCTGCCTAGATGCAAAGAAAAGAACTGGGCACAATCTGTGCAAAGCTTTTGGAGATCTGCAAAACTGGAGTAATTGTCAAAACATTTACATACTCAGTTTTGTGTGTGTGTCTGTGTGTTTTGATTTTGGGGTTTTGTTTTGTGTTTTTTTTTACTAAAGAATTGCCTCTTCTACATTATAATAAGTTTTAAAAGTGTCCCCACAATACTTTTTGCTATGTTGGCCTCTTTTTTTACCTTTTCCCAGAAATCAAGAAAAATTATTTAATGAGCACATGTTTGGGCTTCTGCAGAGTAAAAAGAGACACTAATAATAAAAACATCTGGAATCCTAGCACTGCTTTAATGCCATAGGAATATACAGGTTGTTCTCATGGAGCATATATTTAATTCAATGGGGGTGATAAGAGTAGCAGAAGCAAAACAACTGAATAATATTATGCCTGTATATATGTTCTGGAATATGTATAAAGATAAGGAAAGATGGTTGAAATTGGGCTGGTCTTGAAAATGTGGGTAGAACTCATATAGAAAGAAAAACAGTCATTCTCTGTTATCAAGCACTTGAATGCATCTTCTGATTTTATCTTAACATGACCAGGCCTATGATACACAACTCAAAACCCATAATATTCACATTAATGTAAAACATTCTTATGACATTTCTTAATCATACCTTTATTTTATCTGTATCTTTGGATGTGATAGCTACATTAAACCAAATGGTTTTTTATTACTGCTGCAGTATTTTTTGAAGTAGTACATCACTGAACAGTGAAGAGTTCTTCAGTTAGCATTAAATCTTTCTGAGTTTGTGAGATTTAAATAAAGTTGACTTTCCTATATGTTTATTACCTAATGGGTGGTGGGTCAGTGGGTCACTGCCCATAAATAATGAGTGGAATAGCAGGGGAAATGATAATATTCATGGATTCAGCTGGTGATGAGACAGTGTGTGACTGAGTTCTAGACTGTTCAGGTCAGATGTCCATGAATACCTGCAGTGATCATGTTGTTGGTGATCTGATGTTCTACAAAGAGGCATCAGCCAGTGAGGCCTAGAGTCGGAGTCATGGCATGATTAGCAATAGAAACATGTTTTCACATCCTTCTTTTCCTTTTTCCAATTCCTCATCAGTAGAACTATTAATAATGTCTAGTGTATCACATCAGAAATTATCTCATGAGAAGATTTTCCATGAATTTGGGATGTAAACACTAATGTTTCTTTATACTTAAAATAAAGGTTTGAGCGAGGGAAGGTTATCTGCCTCCTGCTTTGAAATATAAATTAGGTTTTATCTTTTTTATTAAAATGAAAGACTCAATAGTGCTGGGTTTGGCACAGGGGGGTGCTTAATTAATAATATTCAAGGTTTCTGATTAATCTTTCATAAGAATATCACAGGTTATAAGACCAGAGACAGACTTTATAAATGAAAATATAGATACATTTGATGATATGAGAATTAATATTTAGGACAGAAAAAAACAGTTAACATTTAAAAACTTGTGAAAAATGGGGGAAAATATTTGTACCACATATCACTGAAAAAAGTTTGCTATTTTATCATTATTATTATTATTATTTTTGGTACATGCCCCTAGCCGCTAGGGCCTAGCGGGAACTGAACCTGGGATTCTCTGGTCCGCAAGCCGATGCCCCAACCACTGAGCCAAACCAGCCAGGGCAAAGTTTGCTATTTTAAAAAGATAGTCTCAAATGTCCTAATGGAAAAGATGTATATCCCTATAAGAAAATAACAGGCTGAAACAGATGAAGATGTTTAGTTTTACTAGAAATCAAAGAAATGTATATTATTAAGAATAATGAGATGTATCACCCTGTCCATTGCTGGGTGATGTTGACACTCCATGCAACTCTCAAACAATGTGGTTGGGAGTATAATTTCCTTTAAAAAAAAAAACCAACTTTATTCAGTTATGATCTACTTACCATAAAGTTTGGTCATATATTCAGAGTATACAGATCATGATTTTAATAAATTTATAGAATTGTGTAGTGTTACCATAATCTAATTTTAAACCATTTCCATCACTCTAAACTGTTTCTTGTGGTTGTTTGCAGCCAGCCCCTATCCCCGCCCCCCATCCCAGATAACCACTTATCTACTCTATAGGTTTGCCTTTTCTAGAAATTTTATGTAAAAAGAATAAAACAAAATGTAGTCTTTCATGTCTGGTTTCTTTCATTCAGCATAACGTTTTTGAAGTCCACACATAGTATAGCTTCATTCTTTTTTAGTGCCCAATAATACTCCATTGAATGGATATACTACTTTTTGTTTATCCTGTCATGAGTTGATGGACATTTGGATTATTCCAGTTTTCAGTTACTATAAATAATGCTGCCATGAATATTTGTATGTAAATATTTCATGGACATGTTTTCAGTTCTCTAGGGAAGTTTTCAAAAGGTAGAACTGGTAGAGGTATGAAAGCGTCCTTCACATTTTAAACTATTTTCCAAAGTGATTGTACCATCAGTGTATGAGAGTTCAAGCTTCTCCATATCCTTGCTCATGCCTGGTATTGTTAGTATTTTTGCTATAGCCATTCTAATGAATTTAATTTATATTTCCATAATAATTAATGATAACAAACATATTTTCATGTGCTTACTAGCACAAGGTATATCTTAGGTGAAATTCAGATATTTTGCCCATGTTTTAATTAGATTGTTT